TTGAAATCTGCAAACTTACTATTAACCGATGAATTCAAAAATTTGAAGATTGGTGATTTTGGCACTGTAAAAGAATTGGCGACATTTAATACAGATTATACTGGCACGCCCTCTTATACAGCTCCCGAGGTTTGTATTTGTATAAGCTAAAAAATTGAACATATAGTAAAAATATTAATAAGTTGATTCATGCACTCGCAGTCTGGAAAAATAAGGTATACAGAAAAATGCGATATTTATAGCTTTGGCATTATTCTTTGGGAGGTAATGTCACGAAGGAAGCCTTTTGATCACCTTGGGAAGTCCGAGCCGATGGCAATGCTACGTTTTACTGCCGATGGGAATCGACCTTTACTGGATGATGAACTTAAACTCAAATTTGGTGAGCCTTTAGTAAAATGGATTGAGGATTGTTGGCATCAAGATCCGATACGACGACCCACTGCCAAATCAATTGATCTTTCTGAAGTCTCACGTTCTGATGATCATATTGAAAAAGACATCGCTAAAGCACCGTAATTATTACAATTAATATTCTGCTCATTGAATGTCCTGTTGGTAATATCTAAGAAAGCCTATTGTAACTGGCAAATTAACCAAACAGTGACCCCTACCCCTAATTGCGTTTCAACCCACATGTTGAACACCCGTTGTCAGATTGAATTCTTAACGCTTCGTATGGCATACAATTTATTTACAAAAATGTTTTTAAAATTAATGAGATACCTCGCAAACAGGGCTGGGGACTGTAAAGGTGTCAAACATTAAAAAAAAAAGAATAAATAAATTAATATAAACCATTTTAATAAGCTGTATTTTACACGCCGAGTAATAAATATGCATTGCTCTCAATATAAATAATAAATTGATTTTTGACTGAAAGTTTCTAAGGGAGATCAATCTGTCCCATATTTTCGACAATTGCTAGATAGCCGTTGACCTCTCAGGACAGCCCTCTAGCAGTGTGCAATGAATGTCATTTGGATTTGACTTGGATAAGTTTCTAATTTATTGTGCATTAAAAACAAAAAACAAGGTGTGCTCTATGCATAAATATATACATATCTCTTATATCATATCATACATATATATTATATATATATATATTTATATAGCTTGTGATTATCGGCGCATTCGCATTACTGGGTTCTTGTGGCCACGTGCCGCATCTCACGCGCTGCTTTTGAATTGCTCTTCATTACGGTGGATGGGAGCTGAGTTCAGTTAGGTATGTGGTCTTATCACAGCTTGAGCTGACCTGGTTCGGTGCCGGCATGCAGAACAAGCAACTCCGGCGTCATTGGAGCATTTAGGGTCACCCACTATTTTGGCAGAGCGGCATCATCTCGGGCAGATTGCAGGGCCTGCTGCAGGGCAAAGGCGACTGCTACGCCCAGGCAAATAGCTGGCTCACCAGTAGCTAACAAAATAGACAGAGAGGGACAGTTAATACTCTCAAACAACAAATATGCGCTTGAATTATGAAAATCGAACCAATATTGAAATGGCCGCAAGAAAGCAAATACAAAAATAAAAAATATGAATATATATAAACTAAGAAACATAAAACTGTATGTGAGAAGTAAGAATGCACTATTTGAGAGAGCTCAGCGAGAAAATACACTGAACCCAATTCATTCCTTATCATAAGTCCCACACGTCCTAGATATGCAAACCAACGCACAGAAAAATATGTGTACTTACGGATGATATTATGGCAAGGTACCTGTAATCGAATCTTAACGATCTCTGGCTCTTTTCGTATCCGACGGACAGACGGACAGACAGGTTAATTTAGATTAAGGGTATAAAAGTGGCAAACTGACGATTTTCTAAATACTGTGACACACATATTTGTTGTTGAGAGAGTAGAAAAAGCTGGCATGCAACGGATAATTGTAACTAACCCTTTGACCGCATGAAGCCAGCCTTGTTGGAGCTCTTGGGCAGCATCTCGATGCGCATATCAATGGGTATATCTTTCGCACCCGGCGGCTTATAATTCCAGGTGCGGTTTGTCAGGCACTCGCCCGATTTCGGATCGACATAAATCTGCTCGCTGGTCCAGTAGCCCAGGCCCATCGAAAAGGCGCCCTCGATCTGGCCAATGTCCACGTGAGGATTCAAGCACTCGCCCGTATCCTCCAGGATGTCGGCCCGATTAATCAGATAGTTGCCAGTTAGCACATCCAGCTCCACCTCGATGAGGCCCAGTCCACATACCGAATACGGTTCCATATCGCCCTGTTTGCACTGGTCACTGGCTATCAAGTTGATCTTGCGATTATATGCCTCGTTGATCAGCTGTTGCCAGTCCGCCGGCTTCAGCTCCATCTTGAGCGGCTCCAGTCGGGAATTGAGTGTCTCGCACGCCTTGCGTACTGCAAAGCAAACCGACTCGCTTCCCACAGCACCACCAGTGACCATCGAATTGGCACCGTTAATCGTTTCGCTCGCCTCAATGCGCACCTGCTCCATGGCAATGCCCAACGTGTGAGCCACAATCTGAGCGATCTTTGTGTTCATGCCTAAAACCAAAAACAAAAAAAGAAGAAAATGTCAAATACATATTTAAAAGTTGATATATAAAGAACACAAAAAAATTGGCAACTAGAATATTAGCAAAAATACCACATGAAAATTTCCATTAAAGGCACTATTAAAATTGTATTTTAGAAGCTTAATAAATAAAAGAATTGTTAAAGGCTTTTTTCATTGCAAACAAGTTTGATTTTCATTTAAATAATATTTTCACCTCTTTTCGGAAAGAAATGAATATCTTCGCTTTATCAATCAAAGCATATTTTTAATGTCAATTTATGATTTTTGTACAAACTTACCTTGACCCATTTCGATGCCTCCGTGGGCGACGACAACGGTACCATCGCTGTGATAAATGCTCACCGTGGCCGGAAACTGTCCAAAGTATCCAATCTGATACTCCATGATAGCCAGGCCCAAGCCGCGCTTGTGCCAACGATGCTCCTTATTATGAGCAATGATCTCGGCGCGGCGCTCCCGATAACTGTTGTTCTCCAGGAATCGGGGCATCATTTCGCCCATTTTGTGCGCCGGCAAGATGTTGGCATAGCGCACATCCGCCGGATCGTTGCCCGTTGCAAACGCAATATGCTCAATGATATTCTCAATCACGGCAATGCCCTCTACGGAGCCCGGAGCACGGCACGCCGTATTACTGGGCGAGTCGGAGACTACTATAAAGCCATCTAACTTATAGTTATCACCGAACTCGTAACAATTCTTTGACAAAAGCACCGCATGCCCCATGGGCGATTCACTGGTCAAATAGCCGGCATCCTCATACAAGCGACAATTTAGGCCAGCAATTTTACCATTTGCCTGCGCATAGAAATCATAGTCACAGTGGCAGGACCAACGCTTGCCTGTCGTTGTCATAATCGATTCCAGCGATTGTACGAACCTTACTGGACGATTCAGTTTGTGGGCTGCAACCGCTGCAGCAGCAGCAGCAAGATTGCAGCGTGTCGCCTTGCCACCATATCCGCCCCCAATGCGACGGGTCTTCACCTGCACCTCATTGCTCCTCAGATTAAGAGCCTTGGCGACGACATCCTGAGTGAGATCCATCCACTGTGTGGCCACATACATCTGTACACCGCCCTCGAACGGCAGCACAACCGTCGTATGCGGCTCCATAAAATTATGATACTGCAAACCCAAATCCAATTTGCCCGTACCCCGAAAGTTAAAAATGTGTTGCACCCATACGTGAAGACCTAACAAATTCGAAAAGGAAATTTGTTAAAAAATATACTTGTGAGGATATGCCATACAAAAAATAGGATGTTAAAATGTCCCACTACAATTTTAATTTTCCAACTCGGCAGCGAGTCAGAGAAAAGCTGATATAAATCCTTCTGATTGACAACCAGTTGGCAGGCCTTGCCTTATTGGTGCAGGTGGCAGCGCCCATTGCAATCGAAGTGGAAGTGCAGACAATTTAACGCACCTCTACTTGATAGTGGTCGTCGATCGACTCTTGGTAGCTTTCGGTTTGCTTTCTTATGTCTCTGTCTACTATTTGTATTTATGTAACGCAAACTCAAATGTGAACAGAAAAGCCCACCCCATGGCCATGAGCAGGGCCGGAACATTGTTAGACAGAGCTGTTCTCGCTTAATCGCTTAAACAATAAAAGATTTAATAGTTTTTGTATTTGTATATCGTAGCATTCTTACTTATTTTATATTGTAGCTTATTCAATCAGTAACACTTGCTTGCAATATTTCTATGTAGGAATGGGAATAGAACCTGAGAGACGAGAACAGAATGAACGACGAACAGATAGACATTAAGAGCGCGAAGAGAGAATGGTGAAATCTTTCATTTGGTGTCAAGATCTCGTCTGATTTGCACGCATATTTAAAGTTACGCACCCAGCTCATCAAAGTTGTAAAATCATATAATGTCTAGTGAAGTGAATGTGAACCCGATAATAAAAATAACTAAACAATTATAATAATAATAATCGTCTTTGAACAACAGCTATCCCATGCTGACAGTCCTGCGCTAAAGTGCCGACTATGCCGTACATACATATGTATATACCAATTGAGCATGAATAAGCACTCGCTTTGTTTATTTATGCTAAAGTCAAAATTGTACATATACATATATGTATATACATACTTTTCCCGTCCCGGACGTCTCTCACTTTTATTTACTAATTAAGAGATAAAAAATACGCAAATATTATCTTATCTCTTATTCCATATTCTTAAAGTATATTCGAATTGTAATATGGGTTGTGGTATACAAAGTATGAATCGAAATCGTGATGGGGTATTTCGCCGCTGGATTGTGACTCGTTGCGAAAATAAAGAAAAATAAACAAATAAAATTGATTTTTTTAATATTGTTATCTCAAAGTCGTAGAGAGAGCTTTTTAGTTTTATATGCCCTAAAGCTCGTACTCGATTGAAGTAATCTTTCATGTCGTCGCTACAGCAATCCAGAAACATTCGTTTAGTTCACTGGAAATCGTTCTGTGCGGTCGAACAAATTATATACGTAAATAAATATATTTAGACGTGATATATACGCAACTTGCCAAGAATGGCTGAAAATTTGGAGTTAAGTGATGTACATATTAATAACACATTTTCTTAAGGATATATATGAAATTGATCATTTAAATATGTTATATCAAATTTATAATTTATTTGAGTGCAGAAGTGGTTCGGATCAAATCATAAGTTCTAACACAGGAGCAGTTTTGGACTTTGAAGCAATTCTAATAGGCGAGGTATTAACAAATCGCGTTACAGAAAATCATATCGTTTTATTGCAAATGTTGTGCTCTGAAAAATATGAATAATTTATAAATCATACATCTTGCAGGAAATACAAAGAGGAAAGTTTGGCGTTACGTCCAAGGCCACGTGGTATTCTCAGACAATTGCTGTAAAGGAATTGAAACACATTATCAATGAAAATATCGAACATCGAGCCATGCAGCTGATGAATTTATCACATGTAAATATCGTACATATCTTTGGAATCGCTATGAATGCCGAATCTACATATTTACTTATGGAATACGTAGAGGGTGAATCCCTGTTTAACCGTGTCCACAATAAATTGATAAAAATTACTATCGATTTGGCTATAGATTGGATGTATTCTGCAGCGGAGGTATTTTTTATAACATACAGATTTACATATATATTACATTAACTTACTTATTGTCATTTGTAGGCCATCAAATACCTGTTTTGTGAGATGAAGCTAGACCCCCGTTTCCTTTGTAATTTGAAGACTAAGAATCTGAAGTTCCGTCATAGCTTCACAAGCTTGAAATTATATAATTTTTGTCTTGCGTTTGACGATGAAAAAGTGTTGAAAAACAATTTAGATACGTCCTATATGGCACCGGAGGTTTGTAAGACACGAAAGCCATTTATGGCAGACGAAAATACGTTTACTATGTACATATTAATTTGTTCGTAGTCAATCAGAGAAGGAGCTTACACGGAGCAGAGTGTCATATATAGCTTTGGTATTATCTTCTGGGAGGTATTGGCACGCAAGAAACCTTTCGATAAATATAAAACTCCATTACAGATTATGAGCGCGGTCAAAAAAGGTACGAAAGCTGACTATCTATCGAAGTGGTTGTATCATTTTGACTCTTGCAGGTGAACGTCCACCTATTGAAAACATAGCTGAAATTACCTCGAGTTCAATAGAAACATTCATTACAAAATGTTGGCATCAAAAACCGGAAGAACGATACAAAATGGATGAATTATTGATGTCACTGCAGAATCTGAAGTCAGCAATCAGCAGCTATGAGTAATTATTAATGAATCCTCTTAAATATTAATTACCAAGTTTCATTACCATTGCTCTTCAGGAAACCGGTTGACATCGATTTTTTGGAACTAAATCTAAATGTATTATTCTATCAAATTCGCTTTTATTTGAACTAACTGAACTAAATGAAATTTTGTCCTACAGATTGTTAGCGAAAGTCAATTTGGTATAATATACAAAGGCGATTATCGAGAGACGGAGATAGCAGTTAAAAAATTTAAACAAGTTTTTAAGCACAATATCAAGAAAGGTCTTGAAGAAGAGGTCACTCGTCACTCACGCTTGAACCATGAGAATATTGTAAAACTATATGGTATTACTTATGATAAAAATGATATTCTACATTTAGTCATGGAATACGCTAATTGCGGATCCCTCTACAACTATTTGCATGATGAGGAACAGCGAACGTACACAGTTAAGAATTCCCTCCACTGGATGTATCAGGCGGCAAAGGTATCTCTTACTTTCTTATTGTCCGGCAAATTAATAGTTTTTATTTTCCACTTAAAGGGCATTAACTATCTACTGCATGGAAGAACCATGTCAGAAATACATTGCAATTTAAATTCTCAAAATATGTTGCTGTTCAAAAACTGCAGACTCCTGAAAATTAGTGATTATTGCTTTCCTGGCAATCGAGATAATCTTTCAGCCCATCAAAATAGGGCATATTTAGCACCAGAAGTTTGTATTGCATCCAAGAAGTTTTTTAAAGAAAATAACATTAATTCCTGCTTAGGCTCTCAAAGACGGAAAGTATTCAAAAGAGACCGATATATATAGCTTTGGTATTGTATTTTGGGAGGTGATGACACGCAAGAAGCCATTCCCCGATTTGGATACATCAGTAGAAGAAGAGATCACTAATGGTACGAAAGTTGAAGCTTTACCAAAAAATCATACAACAATTTTAAGTTTTTCAGGCTTACGACCGGATCTGAAAGATATAATTGAATCAGAGTATAAGGACATAATAATTAAAATAATTGAAAGGTGCTGGGATGGAGATCCAGAAAAACGTCCATCAATTACAACACTGATCGATGAGCTGTATAAACCTGAGTAAGTTTTAAATGAATTATAAATCTAATTCTTTGAGCTCCCTTTAATTAATTTCCGTTATTCAATATCAATAAATTAAATCCATATCCATTTCTTAGGGCGTTTGAAGAAGTTGCTAGGTGTGAATCTGAAGAAGCTCCGGCCGTAGACCTAAGGGATATTGATATGGGAAAGGTAACATGCAATAAAATATGAATTTTGTTTGAAAAACAATCATTTTAAACCATCAGGAAAGTGTTGGAAAAGGTACCTTCGGCGATATCTATAAAGCTACTTGGTTTAAGAAAGAGATCGCTGTACAGCAATGTACAACGGAAACTTTTGGAGGGGACGATTTTGACTCAGCAGATCTTAAAAGATGGTTCCAACAGCTTTCTCGACTTAGCCATGAGAATATTGTGGAACTATATGGAATTGCCCTTCATGAGAATCATATCTTTATGCTAATGGATTATCCAGTGTGCATATCGCTTTACAACTATTTGCATGGAGAACAACACTTTGAGTATACAGTGATGCGAGGACTCAATTGGATGAGCCAATGTGCTAAGGTTTGGTCTAATATTATTGCATAAATTCAGGAACTTTTGTTTGACAATTAATGTATTTGTAGGGCTTAAATTACTTGCTTACCATGAAACCAAACCCGTTGTTTCATGGTCGTTTATCGCCACACAACCTTCTACTACCGATAACCAATAATTACCGAAATTTGAAAATTTGTGATTTTGGCATTGCTCAGGAACTGCAATTTTCATTTACTCCTTACAATAGCAATTCTTATTATATGAACAAAGATATATATACAGGAGGTCCACACCAAACATCAATAAGAGTAAACGTCAAAGGAATTATAAGTCCAATTCAGAGCGACATTTTTAACTTTGGAACTATTCTATGGGAGGTGATGTCACGCAGGAGAGCTTTGCTTCGACCATACCACAATTATAGTGTGATGGTTTATATGCCACTTATTATTATAGAAGGTGCAAAACCAATTGAAGATATAATACGCCGTTGTTGGATGTCGCATCGGACAGGAAATAAACTAGAAATGGAATGGCTTTTTTCTGATCTCCAAAATATGGTCATGTAAGCTTACAATGAGTTGCAGCAAGTAATGTAAAGTAAAGATAATTTGAGCAATTCGTATGACTGATTTTATTGCAGAACATCTGAAAAATCACACATGGATCATCCCATGAAACAATTAGAGGAAAAAGAGGTAATGCTTAACATACTAATATTTGTTCTCACAATTAATATGTTTTCTATGTAATTTCGGATCCAGTGGGCTACGCTTGCAACAAAAAAATTAAAGGAACGAATTCCGGAAATTGAGTATGTATTGCAGTTAAACAACAAATTTGTGTAATATTAAACATAACTTATTTAGACTTCATTAATTTTCTTTTTTCTTTTCTTATCCGACATAATTAAATATTATTCTAATTATTCACAGGCCATCATTCGTAGAGAATGTGGATTTTAACGATATACAAATTTATGAGGTATAAAGAAACAAAATAAGTTAATTCAGAGATAATTAAATTTTAACTTTGCAGAAAATTGGGGATGGTTCATTTGGCGTTGTTAACAGAGCTGAATGGTCTAATAGAACTATTGCATTAAAAAAAATTACTCCCCAAACAAAATCAAGCCTTCAAGCAATTAAGAATGAGATCAAGTTTCTTTCTGATCTTAGCCACAAAAATATTGTGAAATTATATGCGACCGCATCGCATTCGCAGACTTTTTATTTACTCATGGAATATGCAGAGTGTGGATCTCTCTACGACTGCTTGCATGGAGAAGATCAACGTAAATACACAAGGTCAGATGGTATTAACTGGATGATTCAACTTGTTGAGGTTGGTTCGTGCACATGTACATTGTAACAAATTATGATTTAGTGTCCCTTCTCATTTATAGGGTATAGCTTACATGCATAATTGCAGAAGTAAGCCCATTATTCATCGAGATTTGAAATCTGCAAACTTACTATTAACCGATGAATTCAAAAATTTGAAGATTGGTGATTTTGGCACTGTAAAAGAATTGGCGACATTTAATACAGATTATACTGGCACGCCCTCTTATACAGCTCCCGAGGTTTGTATTTGTATAAGCTAAAAAATTGGACATATAGTAAAAATATTAATAAGTTGATTCATGCACTCGCAGGTTTACACTGGAACTATAGATCCTAAGGTTTGTATTTGTATTAGCTAAAAAATTGAACATATAGTAAAAATATTAATAAGTTGATTCATGCACTCGTAGGATTCCCCTGGAACTCCTCAGGTGTGTATTTGTATTAGCTAAAAAATTTAACATATACTAAAAATATTAATAAGTTGATTCATGCACTCGCAGGCTGGAAAAATAAGGTATACAGAAAAATGCGATATTTATAGCTTTGGCATTATTCTTTGGGAGGTAATGTCACGAAGGAAGCCTTTTGATCACCTTGAGGAACGCAACCCGACAGCAATGCAACATCTTACTGCCAAAGGGAAACGACCTGAACTGGATGATAAACTTAAACTCAAATTTGGTGAGCCTTTAGTAAAATTGATTGAGGATTGTTGGCATCAAGATCCGATACGACGACCCACTGCCAAATCAATTGATCTTTCTGAAGTCTCATGTTCTGATGATCCTATTGAAATGCATCGCTAAAGCACCGTAATTATTACAATTAATATTCTGCTCATTGAATGTCCTGTTGGTAATATCTAAGAAAGCCTATTGTAACTGGCAAATTAACCAAACAGTGACCCCTACCCCTAATTGCGTTTCAACCCACATGTTGAACACCCGTTGTCAGATTGAATTCTTAACGCTTCGTATGGCATACAATTTATTTACAAAAATGTTTTTAAAATTAATGAGATACCTCGCAAACAGGGCTGGGGACTGTAAAGGTGTCAAACATTAAAAAAAAAAGAATAAATAAATTAATATAAACAATTTTAATAAGCTGTATTTTACACGCCGAGTAATAAATATGCATTGCTCTCAATATAAATAATAAATTGATTTTTGACTGAAAGTTTCTAAGGGAGATCAATCCGTCCCATATTTTCGACAATTGCTAGATAGCCGTTGACCTCTCAGGACAGCCCTCTAGCAGTGTGCAATGAATGTCATTTGGATTTGACTTGGATAAGTTTATAATTTATTGTACATTAAAAACAAAAAACAAGGTGTGCTCTATGCATAAATATATACATATCTCTTATATCATATCATATATATATATATTTATATAGCTTGTGATTATCGGCGCATTCGCATTACTGGGTTCTTGTGGCCACGTGCCGCATATCACGCGCTGCTTTTGAATTGCTCTTCAACTCCGGCGTCATTGGAGCATTTAGGGTCACCCACTATTTTGGCAGAGCGGCATCATCTCGGGCAGATTGCAGGGCCTGCTGCAGGGCAAAGGCGACTGCTACGCCCAGGCAAATAGCTGGCTCACCAGTAGCTAACAAAATAGACAGAGAGGGACAGTTTATACACTCAAACAACAAATATGCGCTTGAATTATGAAAATCGAACCAATATTGAAATGGCCGCAAGAAAGCAAATACAAAAATAAGAAATATGATACATAAAACTGTATGTGATAAGTAAGAATGCACTATTTGAGAGAGCTCAGCGAGAAAATACACTGAACCCAATTCATTCCTTATCATAAGTCCCACACGTCCTAGATATGCAAACCAACGCACAGAAAAATATGTGTACTTACGGATGATATTATGGCAAGGTACCTGTAATCGAATCTTAACGATCTCTGGCTCTTTTCGTATCCGACGGACAGACGGACAGACAGGTTAATTTAGATTAAGGGTATAAAAGTGGCAAACTGACGATTTTCTAAATACTGTGACACACATATTTGTTGTTGAGAGAGTAGAAAAAGCTGGCATGCAACGGATAATTGTAACTAACCCTTTGACCGCATGAAGCCAGCCTTGTTGGAGCTCTTGGGCAGCATCTCGATGCGCATATCAATGGGTATATCTTTCGCACCCGGCGGCTTATAATTCCAGGTGCGGTTTGTCAGGCACTCGCCCGTTTTCGGATCGACAACAATCTGCTCACTGGTCCAGTAGCCCAGGCCCATCGAAAAGGCGCCCTCGATCTGGCCAATGTCCACGTGAGGATTCAAGCACGCGCCCCTATCCTCCAGGATGTCGGCCCGATTAATCAGATAGTTGCCAGTTAGCACATCCAGCTCCACCTCGATGAGGCCCAGTCCACATACCGAATACGGTTCCATATCGCCCTGTTTGCACTGGTCACTGGCTATCAAGTTGATCTTGCGATTATATGCCTCGTTGATCAGCTGTTGCCAGTCCGCCGGCTTCAGCTCCATCTTGAGCGGCTCCAGTCGGGAATTGAGTGTCTCGCACGCCTTGCGTACTGCAAAGCAAACCGACTCGCTTCCCACAGCACCACCAGTGACCATCGAATTGGCACCGTTAATCGTTTCACTCGCCTCAATGCGCACCTGCTCCATGGCAATGCCCAACGTGTGAGCCACAATCTGAGCGATCTTTGTGTTCATGCCTAAAACCAAAAACAAAAAAAGAAGAAAATGTCAAATACATATATATAAGTTTTATATATAAAGGACAAAAAAAAATTGGCAACTAGAATATTAGCAAAAATACCACATGAAAATTTCCATTAAAGGCACTATTAAAATTGTATTTTAGAAGCTTAATAAATAAAAAGAATTGTTAAAAGCTTTTCTCATTGCAAACAAGTTTGATTTTCATTTAAATAATATTTTCACCTCTTTTCGGAAAGAAATGAAAATCTTCGCTTTATCAATCAAAGCATATTTTTAATGCCAATTTATGATTTTTGTACAAACTTACCTTGACCCATTTCGATGCCTCCGTGGGCGACGACAACGGTACCATCGCTGTGATAAATGCTCACCGTGGCCGGAAACTGTCCAAAGTATCCAATCTGATACTCCATGATAGCCAGGCCCAAGCCGCGCTTGTGCCAACGATGCTCCTTATTATGAGCAATGATCTCGGCGCGGCGCTCCCGATAACTGTTGTTCTCCAGGAATCGGGGCATCATTTCGCCCATTTTGTGCGCCGGCAAGATGTTGGCATAGCGCACATCCGCCGGATCGTTGCCCGTTGCAAACGCAATATGCTCAATGATATTCTCAATCACGGCAATGCCCTCTACGGAGCCCGGAGCACGGCACGCCGTATTACTGGGCGAGTCGGAGACTACTATAAAGCCATCTAACTTATAGTTATCACCGAACTCGTAACAATTCTTTGACAAAAGCACCGCATGCCCCATGGGCGATTCACTGGTCAAATAGCCGGCATCCTCATACAAGCGACAATTTAGGCCAGCAATTTTACCATTTGCCTGCGCATAGAAATCATAGTCACAGTGGCAGGACCAACGCTTGCCTGTCGTTGTCATAATCGATTCCAGCGATTGTACGAACCTCACTGGACGATTCAGTTTGTGGGCTGCAACCGCTGCAGCAGCAGCAGCAAGATTGCAGCGTGTCGCCTTGCCACCATATCCGCCGCCAATGCGACGGGTCTTCACCTGCACCTCATTGCTCCTCAGATTAAGAGCCTTGGCGACGACATCCTGAGTGAGATCCATCCACTGTGTGGCCACATACATCTGTACACCGCCCTCGAACGGTAGCACCACCGTCGTATGCGGCTCCATAAAATTATGATACTGCAAACCCAAATCCAATTTGCCCGTACCCTGAAAGTTAAAAATGTGTTGCACCCATACGTGAAGACCTAACAAATTCGAAAAGGAAATTTGTTAAAAAATATACTTGTGAGGATATGCCATACAAAAAATAGGATGTTAAAATGTCCCACTACAATTTTAATTTTCCAACTCGGCAGCGAGTCAGAGAAAAGCTGATATAAATCCTTCTGATTGACAACCAGTTGGCAGGCCTTGCCTTATTGGTGCAGGTGGCAGCGCCCATTGCAATCGAAGTGGAAGTGCAGACAATTTAACGCACCTCTACTTGATAGTGGTCGTCGATCGACTCTTGGTAGCTTTCGGTTTGCTTTCTTATGTCTCTGTCTACTATTTGTATTTATGTAACGCAGACTCAAATGAGAACAGAAAAGCCCACCCCATGGCCATGAGCAGGGCCGGAACATTGTTAGACAGAGCTGTTCTCGCTTAATCGCTTAAACAATAAAAGATTTAATAGTTTTCGTATTTGTATATCGTAGCATTCTTACTTATTTTATATTGTAGCTTATTCATACAGTAACACTTGCTTGCAATATTTCTATGTAGGAATGGGAATAGAACCTGAGAGACGAGAACAGAATGAACGACGAACAGATAGACATTAAGAGCGCGAAGAGAGAATGGTGAAATCTTTCATTTGGTGTCAAGATCTCGTCTGATTCGCACGCATATTTAAAGTTACGCACCCAGCTCATCAAAGTTGTAAAATCATATAATGTCTAGTGAAGTGAATGTGAACCCGATAATAAGAATAACTAAACAATTATAATAATAATAATCGTCGTTGAACAACAGCTATCCCATGCTGACAGTCCTGCGCTAAAGTGCCGACTATGCCGTACATACATATGTACATACCAATTGAGCATGAATAAGCACTCGCCTTGTTTATTTATGCTAAAGTCAAAATTGTACATATACATTTATGTATATACATACTTTTCCCGTCCCGGACGTCTCTCACTTTTGTTTACTAATTAAGAGATAAAAAATACGCAAATATTATCTTATCTCTTATTCCATATTCTTAAAGTATATTCGAATTGTAATATGGGTTGTGGTATACAAAGTATGAATCGAAATCGTGATGGGGTATTTCGCCGCTGGATTGTGACTCGTTGCGAAAATAAAGAAAAATAAACAAATAAAATTGATTTTTTTAATACTGTTATCTCAAAGTCGTAGGGAGAGCTTTTTAGCTTTATATGCCCTAAAGCTCGTACTCGATTGAAGAAATCTTTCATGTCGCCGCTACAGCAATCCAGAAACATTCGTTTAGTTCACTGAAAATCGTTCTGTGCGGTCGAACAAATTATATACGTAAATAAATATATTTATACGTGATATATACGCAACTTGCCAAGAATGGCTGAAAATTTGGAGTTAAGTGATGTACATATTAATAACTTTAAAATATTTTCGATACCAAATAAAAGAGTAATAATTTCAGGTGTTTGACTATGGGAATTTTATGGATTGTCGTATATTAAAAGGGAGAAATAAACCAACAGTGGTAGTTCCATTAGATAAGACTGCACTTGAGAAGCTCAATGTAGAATTCCTATCGAGTATTAAGCATGAAAATATTGCTGAAATATATAATACCATAAATTTAAAAGAAGATGAATACCTCGTTCATATACTTGTGGAATATTCGGATTGTGGATCTCTGAGTCGTTACTTACATGGGGAGGAGCAGCGAGAATATACATTTAAAGATTTGCTCTCCTGGATGCATCAGGCCTCCAAGGTAAGGTACGTCTTTGAAGGCAGAGGCAATTCAATAAATTTTAATCTTCTATAAGGGTCTTCAATACATCCATTCCCGGGACCCTATACCGTCCTTTCGAGATATAGAAACCGGAGGACTTATGCTATCCAACAGCTTTGGTACCTTAAAAATCTGTGGCATTCATCATACAACCAGAATTGGCGATAGCATATATGCATCACCGGAGGTTCTCTATAAGTATAATAAGATACATATATAAACCAACCTAATTGTGTCTTCATGCAGGTGCTAACAGAAAAAAATGCGAGTCACAAATGCAACGTATACAGCTTTGGTATTATCTTTTGGGAGTTGATGTCACGCAAGTTACCTTTCCAACACTTAAATTGTCCAGTTTATGAGATTAAAGAATATGTTTTAAAAGGTGAATGATGTACCAAACAGTGTACGCAGTTGTTAAATCTTCTTTCGTCTTCATTCGTAGGGGAACGTCCGAAACTTAATGAAATACGATTACAAAACTGTGAGCAGATCAAGGAATTAATTGAAAAATGCTGGAATTCCGAACCGGATATGAGGCCCTCAATGGATGAGATATGCTCAAAAATCGCACATTTTCTTAAGTAGGATATATATGAAATTGATCATTTTAAATATGTTATATCAAATTTATAATTTATTTGAGTGCAGAAGTGGTTCGGATCAAATCATAAGTTCTAACGCAGGAGCAGTTTTGGACTATGAAGCAATTCTAATAGGCGAGGTATTAACAAATCGCGTTACAGAAAATCATATCGTTTTATTCCAAATGTTCTGCTCTGAAAAATATGAATCATTTATGAATCATACATCTTGCAGGAAATACAAAGGGGCAAGTTTGGCGTTACGTCCAAGGCCACGTGGTATTCTCAGACAATTGCTGTAAAGGAATTGAAACACATTATCAATGAAAATATCGAACATCGAGCCATGCAGCTGATGAATTTATTACATGAAAATGTCGTACATACATTCGGAATCGCTATGAATGCCGAATCTACATATTTACTTATGGAATACGTAGAGGGTGAATCCCTGTTTAACCGTGTCCACAATAAATTGATAGAAATTACTATCGATTCGGCTATGGATTGGATGTATTCTGCAGCGGAGGTATTTTTTATAACATACGGATCTACATATATATTAAATTAATTTACTTATTGTCATTTGTAGGCCATCAAATACCTGTTTTGTGAGATGAAGCTAGACCCCCGTTTCCTTTGTAATTTGAAGACTAAGCATCTGAAGTTCATTGATGGCTTCACATATTTGAAATTATGTAATTTTTGTCTTGCGTTTGACGATGAAAAAGTGTTGAAAAACAATTTAGATACGTCCTATATGGCACCGGAGGTTTGTAAGACACGAAAGCCATTTATGGCAGACGAAAATACGTTTACTATGTACATATTAATTTGTTCGTAGTCAATCAGAGAAGAAGCTTACACGGAGCAGAGTGTCATATATAGCTTTGGTATTATCTTCTGGGAGGTATTGGCACGCAAGAAACCTTTCGATAAATATAAAACTCCATTACAGATAATGAGCGCGGTCGAAAAAGGTAAGAAAGTTGACTATCTACCGAAGTGGTTGTATCATTTTGACTCTTGCAGGTGAACATCCGCCTATTGAAAACATAGCTGAAATTACCTCGAGTTCAATAGAAACATTCATTACGAAATGTTGGCATCAAAAACCGGAAGAGCGATACAAAATGGATGAATTATTGATGTCACTGCAGAATCTGAAGTCAGAAATCAAAATCTATGAGTAATTATTAATGAATCTTCTTAAATATTAATTACTAAGTTTCATTACCATTGCTCTTCAGGAAACCGGTTGACATCGATTTTTTGGAACTAAATCTAAATGTATTACTCTAACAAATTCGCTTTTATTTGAACTAACTGAACTAAAAGAAATTTTGTCCTACAGATTGTTAGCGAAAGTCAATTTGGTATAATTTACAAAGGCGATTATCGAGAGACGGAGATAGCAGTTAAAAAATTTAAACAAGTTTTTAAGCACAATATCAAGAAAGGTCTTGAAGAAGAGGTCACTCGTCACTCACGCTTGAACCATGAGAATATTGTAAAACTATATGGTATTACTTATGATAAAAATGATATTCTACATTTAGTCATGGAATACGCTAATTGCGGATCCCTCTACAACTATTTGCATGATGAGGAACAGCGAACGTACACAGTTAAGAATTCCCTCCACTGGATGTATCAGGCGGCAAAGGTATCTCTTACTTTCTTATTGTCCGGCAAATTAATAGATTTTATTTTCCACTTAAAGGGCATTAACTATCTACTGCATGGAAGAACCATTTCAGAAATACATTGCAATTTAAATTCTCAAAATATGTTGCTGTTCAAAAACTGCAGACTCCTGAAAATTAGTGACTATTGCTTTCCTGACGATCGAGATAATCTTCCAGCCCATCAAAATAGGGCATATTTAGCACCAGAAGTTTGTATTGCATCCAAGAAGTTTTTTAAAGAAAATAACATTAATTCCTGCTTAGGCTCTCGAAGACGGAGAGTATTCAAAAGATACCGACATATATAGCTTTGGTATTGTATTTTGGGAGGTGATGACACGCAAGAAGCCATTTCCCGATTTGGATACATCAGTAGAAGAAGACATCACTAATGGTACGAAAGTTGAAGCTTTACCAAAAAATCAAACAACAATTTTAAGTTTTTCAGGCTTACGACCGGATCTGAAAGATATAATTGAATCAGAGTATAAGGACATAATTAAAAGGTGCTGGGATGGAGATCCAGTAAAACGTCCATCAATTACAACACTGATCGATGAGCTGTATAAACCTGAGTAAGTTTTAAATGAATTATAAATCTAATTCTTTGAGCTCCCTTTAATTAATTTCCGTTATTCAATATCAATAAATTAAATCCATATCCATTTCTTAGGGCGTTTGAAGAAGTTGCTAGGTGTGAATCTGAAGAAGCTCCGGCCGTAGACCTAAGGGATATTGATATGGGAAAGGTAACATGCAATAAAATATGAATTTTGTTTGAAAAACAATCATTTTAAACCATCAGGAAAGTGTTGGAAAAGGTACCTTCGGCGATATCTATAAAGCTACTTGGTTTAAGAAAGAGATCGCTGTACAGCAATGTACAACGAAAACTTTTGGAGGGGACGATTTTGACTCAGCAGATCTTGAAAGATGGTTCCAACAGCTTTCCCGACTTAACCATGAGAATATTGTGGAACTATATGGAATTGCCTTTGATGAGAATCATATCTTTATACTAATGGATTCCCCAGTGTGCATATCGCTTTACAACTATTTGTATGGAGAAGAACATTTTGAGTATACAGTGATGCGAGGACTCAATTGGATGAGCCAATGTGCTAAGGTTTGGTCTAATATTATTGCATAAATTCAGGAACTTTTGTTTGACAATTAATGTATTTGTAGGGTTTAAATTACTTGCATACCATGACACCAAACCCGTTGTTTCATGGTCGTTTATCGCCACACAACCTTCTACTACCCATAACCAATAATTACCGAAATTTGAAAATTTGTGATTTTGGCATTGCTCAGGAATTGCATTTTTCATTTACTCCTTACAATAGCAATTCTTATTATATGAACAAAAAAAT